GTTTTTGTGGGCGTAAAACTTGATCTCTGAACGTTGAGAAGCTTCATAATTTATACTTGCATCAAATCAAGGAGGATGAGATGAGAAGGGTATGTAGCGTGCATGGGGAGGAATGAGTACAAAATCTTAGTTGGAAAGCCTGAACAGAAGAGATCTGTAGATAGGAGGATAATATTAAAATTAACCTTGGGGAAATAAGATTTGGGGTGTGTGGATTGGGTTAATCTGGCATGTCACAGATAAAATCGTATCAGTACCAAAGTATTTATTGCCCCTGTGGTACCTGTGTGACGCTGTCCCACAGCAGATGTGTCGTTTCTTGTGCTGAAGGCGAGAGTCATCAAGATAACACTCACTATAAAGAGATACACCCCCGCGAAGAAGAACAGTACTAGGATCTCGATGCTGCAGATATTCGCAGGCTGCCCACACTTCAGGCAAGTGCACTCCTCCAGTTCAATTCCGAATATCTTAATTCCCAACCTGCGCGGAACGTAAACCATTATTATTAGTGAGATCTGTGTTCTTTACGGCGGTGAGGATATATCGGTGGTCTTTCGAGTTGTGTGATATTATTGGTTGGCGCCAGTCTTTTGGAGGACAATGCTGCCTCCATCTCCAGGGTTTAATGTTGGAGGTACAAGTTTTCATATTTAAGTCGCAAAGCTTCAAACTTTAAATTTTTTGCTTTGCACTGAGTGCAGGTCACAGGAAAGCATGTTACCCCTAGGATTGGTGACGACAGATCGTGCTGTACCTTACCTCTTCTGGCCACTATTTTTATAATTACTCTTTGGGGACATTTCAGGGGCATTATCAACTAAAAGTTTAAAAAATCTCGTATTAGTTTCGCCATATCCATTAGTCCGAATGTAAGAACTTGAGAACCAGTGAACAGATTTTAATAAAGTTTGATATTGGGGAATATTTACAAAAATGTTTCAACACATTTAAATTTTAATCTTTGAAGGTGATTTGCCGGACTCCGTCACAGAACATAAGGCCTTCAGCCCAGGGAAACCATTTGAGTTTGGTAGAACTAGTCTGCGCACGTGCTGATGCGAACACAACACCGATGCTGCGTCCCATTTCTCTGGGCTCAGTTTATTGTTTGCTGCTTTTCGAACAATAGTGATTGTAGCTGGCTTCTTACTCACGCAACATTCACTTACACAGGAGATGCTATTGTTTTTTTCACGTTAGTCTCCATTTGGGGTCAGAGATACTACAAACACGTGACTGTGCTTCAAACTCAATATTTCATGTCGGATAAGTACATATTTAGGTTAACTTATTAAAACTGAGTAAACATAAATTAATGTTATCGTCTTTCGTTTGACAACATCGTTTGTTTACTTACTCAGTGTGCGTCATATAACTACGTAGAGTGTAAATTTAATTACCCAAGAGGGGGAGATGGGGTGGATATGGTGTCATCAGGCAAACAGAACAGGCGCAAAGATATAAAAGTTTTTATTTGTATATTATCTTCTATGTTTTCTTAATATGGGCTAAGCGTAAGATTATAAAAAGGGTTGAACGCCTATTTTAAAACGCATTCTTGGTAAATTACATACCTCATCGGCGTTTATGTTCAACAATTTACAGACTTAATAAAATTTTAAAGACAGTACACTGCCCGGAGATGTAAAATATTGTTTCTGACGAAATAGTCAGCAGTAGAGAGATTACGTGCACATGGACCGAAGTTTTCTGTTGCTTAAATTACGTAGCTGGATGTTCAATGAATAATGAATGTGAGAAAATTTGAAATAAAGCGGCCACATTTAAGGTATTATATCAGCGTTTGCCTGGAGGGACTGAATAAAGCCACGAAAATATTAAGCCAGAAAGGACTGTCTTTGAGGCAAGCTTTGAACCCGGGACCTCCCGAATATTAATGAAGCAGGAGTTCTAATCACTCGACCACAACATTGGGTGATGTTTTTTATTATTTGTTTAAATTATCTTAAATATACATTGGACATTTGTAAGATATTGGATTAAGTTATAGACATTAATTATATTTGTTTGTGTTTGTGTTTATTTTCCGGCATTTATTGTTTTGATGTGCAGCCATTTTTATACATTTTCGTTACATCTGAGACGGAAGCGTGGGCTTCCTAAGTGTGTTTATTTCGTAGGCTGTTTGCAGTTCAATTAGAAATGTAAAGATATAATTAATTAATATCGATAACAGACTCATATCATGATTGACATTCATTTATTCCAACCCGAAACTGACCCGTCCCTTTTATTTTTAGTAACAAAGATGTTAATTTCGAACATTTCCTGTATCGTATTGGGATATTCCCTGGTTTAAGTCTTGACTAGACTTGACTGAGTTTTTTCTAGGCTTTCCTCAGTCCTTACAGCCCAGTTTTGGGAAAATCCCTACAAATAGGCCACGGAAGATTCAGAAAGCGATTTAAAATAAACTAAGAATGAAACGCTTTCGGAATGTCCTGTATTTCTCATAATAAATACTGAATCAGAACAAGTGGTTCTTGAAATAAACTACATGACAAAGACACTGCTTGCAACGTTACGAGAGAGAACGTATCACCACAGTTTTAGTAATTATTTGTAAGTGAAGCTTACCTTATTCTAAACTCTTTGTATGGGTCGTCCCTTGGCATGGCTCTGGTACGAATTGCACAGCATTCATTTCTACTTCTTTGTGACTCACTTGCGTGACACAGTCGAGCCCTGCCTAGGCCTACCCTTACCTCAGCCTGAGACTCCAGCGTTTAGATTTTGTCTGCAGACTAGTTCTCTCAGGTTCTTGACCTCCTGCAGACTGTATCATGATTCCTATTTCACGTTCAGGTAAATTTCCCTTCCTACTCTCTACTGTTGTAGTAAATTTAATGCGGAACCTCTTACGTCCAAACTAGTACTGCAGCTTCGGTCGCTCTGTCATTTTAATGCGCCATCCACGGATTATGCGTGGTATGTGCCATGTGTTCTGTGCCATAATGGTATGAAGGCGATAGTAAGGAAATATAGTAGGCATTTATGTTGAAGTTCTTTACTGAAAGTGAAAATGATAAACGCCATAAAAATAAAAAAGGTGTTTTGAATTGCATTAGACTTAATACATATGAATTTAAAGGTTTCACAAAAGCAGATCTATAATATACTGTTTTCTTATATATTAATATTCGAAATATAGATAGCTGTATGCTTTTATTCTGTATTGTTTTCGCCTGTGCCCAATTTGTCTACAGAATTGGCTATTTTTGAAGAAAAATATAAGAAAAATGTTTTGACTGCCGTATGAAGTAAAATTTTAAAAGGGTTGTTATAAACAACGATACTGGTGAAAACGAACGTTGCTTGACAATTTTTAGATTACGGATACCACATTTATTCGAAATGCGTTTAGTGGTTTTATAGATAATAATGTGGAAGAACATGGCTCCCCAGTGCATGCAGACAGCTGCCAAGTCTGACAGGCACAAAGGACGTTTCGAATAGTGAGGCAGATGACAAGCTTTGGCCATATGTTGCCCCCCTTTTATACTCAGACACGTGTTTTGCATTCAGAAAGTAATAGTTATTTTATTGCGTTTTTATAACGTGCGTTTCTCTACGGCCGTGTCGACAATGTCAGGTCAAACGAGATCGGTCTCCAGCGACTCCAGTATGAAGTTTCTGCCGCCTGTGTCTGCTTGTATGTGTCACCAATTGCATGCTTCAAGGCAATGGAAGGACTTCAAAGTCAACAGTACAGCGTTGTTAGCTGTGCTACGCTGCGAGTTCTGAACTGTCTTCATTCATCTGGACTCCACTGTTTCATGTGTCAACGTCGAACAGTTTTACTTTGCCCTTGAAGGATACAATGTTGACGGCTAGTGTAATGATGAATATAGCCGAGGTTAATAACTCTCGGATGACATAAGAAGTTGATTATGTACTGTGAATTGGAAATGAGTGGAGTCCAATTATGCTCTCCGGGCTTTCACGTGAAGGGCCTGAGAGAAACCATGAAAAGTCAGGTTAAATAGTGGTGAGGCCAGCACTCGTATTTGGTACCTTCGTGTTATGTTAGTCGCTTCAGCATATTGTCATAAAATAGTTTAATTTCACACATCGAAAACATCTATGTTCCCGACACGCTAATTGGCTTCTGAACCTGCAAGCACAGGAAGCCTTACTGTACAACATACCGTACAATACCACGGTAATTGCAGCCCGGGGCTGAAAATAATAAATTCATATTGATACGTGGAGCGTATCGACACTCTGTATCTACCGATACCATCGTGCGGGAGCCGTTTCTTTGTGTGAGTCGGTCGGTCGGTAGTGTTTCTTGAGTGAATGGGCGGGCAGTCCCAGTCGGCTTGCAAGGATGAGCAAACTGCAAGTAGTTTGGGGGGGGAAATTCTACAAGTGGAAAACGGTGTTGGTTTAAAGAGATGTTGTAGTTTATTTGGATATTATACGGAGTTATGTCAAGCCAATATTAACTGTTCATTTTAGCATTTAATTTAGTAGTAGTGTTGCCACATTTTTTTTCTGCTACAGTGGTCTATTTGAGGTCGGCTGGTTCGTTATATTTTCATCAGTCTCAAGAACTCCACACACCTCCAACACCTCAGAGGTCAATGTTCTGCCTGTTTTTGTCCCACCATTCGGCACCTTGACCCGTTCTCATTGACTTCAAATGTAAAAGAATGCAATTCCTAGTAAAAGTCGTAAAACATTTAGGATTTGAGGTTTTCACGGAGGTGAGTACGAAGATGGTTGTCTTATTGGTTGTTGCGCCATTTAGTATGGTGATATATTGTTTCAGGGATGTTGGGTAGGGGGGATAGATGGTGCAGGTACTCGCAAGTTACTGGTACCCGACATCGTTCCAGACAGCCAGACAGACCTTTTCTAATTTGGTGCCGAGTTCACGCATAAGAGGTAGTCGTTTTGCCCTGTACAGGTGAGCACATTGAGATGGCTCGCTACGGTTGTTGGGCTCGTAATTACATAGCGACGGAGCACTTCATTGTTCTCGGCGCGAGTAAATTGTCTTCGTATGCAGCCAAGGAAAGAGTCTCATCAAGAAACTGCGATACATACGTTTAGTTTCTTGAGTGTCGCGGTTCAGTGTACTGCCTTTTCTCACGTAATGTTTCGTGATGTTGCAGTGATTAATTCAACAACATGTTGTTGCTGTCGGATGTAATCGCTTCACAGGTACCATATCTATATTTTTGCATGTTATTGGTAGTAATCCAAGATAAGGCGCGTCCCAAAATATTCATCCTTCGGTATTTTAATAACGTTTCTTGATTTCTTTAAACCGTTATTGAATATTCATCTCCCTGATGACGGAGGCAGCATGACCTCTGAAACGTTGGTTAACATCGACCAGACTACACAGCGCAACAACCCAGAAGACAGAAATCTTCATACTCTGATGACGGAGGCAGTATGACCTCTGAAACGTTGGTAAACATCGATCAGACTACACAGCGCAACAACCCAGAAGACAGAAATCTTCATACTCTGATGACGGAGGCAGTATGACCTCTGAAACGTTGGTAAACATCGATCAGACTACACAGCGCAACAACCCAGAAGACAGAAATCTTCATACTCTGATGACGGAGGCAGTATGACCTCTGAAACGTTGGTAAACATCGATCAGACTACACAGCGCAACAACCCAGAAGACAGAAATCTTCATACTCTGATGACGGAGGCAGTATGACCTCTGAAACGTTGGTAAACATCGATCAGACTACACAGCGCAACAACCCAGAAGACAGAAATCTTCATTCTCACCGCTGTGAAAACCTCAAATCTTACAAGGAATAAGTTTCTACATGGCGGAGGTGGTAAAATTTATGTCATATTTTGCACGTAACGTAGGCCTACTCGAAATATGTATTGATGTAAATATGAATAAGAATGTATCTTATAACTACAAGCCTGTAAGTCTTAATTGTTGTTCGTAGTGTTATCACATAGAAGCATGTTCTACCTAGATTTTATTTACCCAGCGTTACAGTTTTCAGCAGAATATCATCAGTTAAAAGGGAAGTAGGATTTGAGGTTCACATGGCGGTGAGTACGAAGACTCAGAAGACAGCCATCTTGGTTAAAAGCATGTTACTAGCATTCATCGGTGCAAAAGCGAATTTGTTTTCCTGTTTCACGAACAATATTAAGATTCAGGATTGCAGCATTGTTTTGTTTATCTTTTCACTCTCACGGTTGTTAATAAACGTGTATCGTCGAGATTAGTGGTGGTAGTGGGAAATTTACACACAATTATTATTATCTCATAGACTGTTCGTGTGTTTTTGTTTCTGAGTGATGACAAACATGTTATTATCTCATGTTTGTACGTCTTTGAGCACGCTTTACGAATGCGTTAAGAGTTCTTTGCACCAACGGCGTAAAATAAAAGGAATCACAATGTTTGCCTATTTATTCAAAGCCATGTTTCATCTCGAATAGTAGTTAATGGGTTTAAATTTGGTATTTATGGTGTCTACATTAAATTTTCAGTGGAATTTATATTTTGGCCCGTAACAGTTAACTGTCTTTTTCATTAAGTTCAAATTTAATGTTATTAATTAGGTCTATTAAAAGGAGAGATCGTTGTCTAAAGAAATGTAACATAATAAAATATATATCATTAGATATATAGCCTATATTTTACTTATTTTTTTCGATATTGGGTACATTAAGTAGTGTTAAAATTTAACTTTTCTGTTAGCCACAGAATATATGACTATACGTTCTGTATTATTTTGTACTACAGATTTGCTATGCTCGAAAGTTGAAAACTGCATATTGTCACTTGTTGGTATACTTGTTGGAAGCATTGACTATATGCATTTGTAACGGCGTAGAAAAAAACACTGGCCATGCTGAATTTCTGTTGAAAGATTTTAAGTTTATTTTCCTGTACATTTCTAAACGTCTTACTGTATATTTGAAGTTGCCTCGGCGGTGAAGATGTTGATGTCGGTCTTTAGGGTTTTTGCGATATGTGGACTCGTATGTTGGTACGACCGTTACGAAGAAATACACTGTCTTCTTCTTTAGAACTGGGGAAGCAGTATGTTCATGCAGAACGCTTGTATCTACCTGTATGTCCACCGGTGTTACAACCCAGAAATTTGATAGCAGTGTCTTGGTTATGGGTGACACCAGCATTGCAGGTAATTTCTGTCTCTGCTCTGTTAGTAACTTATTATGTACTGTGCGTATCGGAAGGAAGGTTTCTGGACCGTGAAGCTGGCCACTCACATCCATCTAATGCCAAGGTTAAGGCTACTCGTAGCTTTACTTCCGTTTCCTCCATACGAATTCATCGAGTGTGGTGCTTAACGACAGATACACATTGGTACTTCCCTTTGTCTGCACTTAACGCAGTTGACTTTATGCAGCAGAACTGTCCAAGAACTGAACTTGAATTAAATAAGTAGGTTCTCCGTATGCATAAGTGTCGCGGACAGCCGATAAAGGGTAACCCTACATATTTGGGTTTGGGAGGGGATGCTAACAATTCCTCACCCTGTTACGAAATGCTTCACGGGTCTCGGAATTGGATTCTTCGAAACACGTGGAACAACAGGGAACGAAAGCACGCGCGGCAGTTTGGACGTGGTGACGTTTTCAGGTTCTCACGGCGGCGAGTTGAGATGTCTTCTGAGATGTTGCGCCGTGTAGTCTGGCATGCGTTTTCCTACATTTTGGAAGTATTTGTTACCTCCGTCGTCAAAGCGATCGCCCTGATAATAGAAAATAAATCTGTCGCTTATTTCCTGTACACTTACGACTGTCACACATCCTGGCGACTTTTATTGCAAACCATATTAGGAAAGTGATAAGTAAAGTTGCATTAATGAACGGTTAATCAGAAGATGAGACCTTCGGTCCA